AGGCTGACACAGAGCTGTTTATTTTAAAAACAGATTTAGAATTGAGTAATTTTATTTCTTTTTTGCTGATACCAGGGTAAGAAATTCCACTTATTTTATTACTTTTCTACCATGATAATGCTCCAGCTAGCCTGAGGGGAAAGGAATAATTAATTTTAAGGGATCTCAGAAACGTTGTGAATCATTGGAACTAGAGACTAAATGCCATTAGGAACTAAGGAAGTACTTACCTACTCTCTGTCATCCCCCTACCCTCCTTGCTAGCTGTGTTGGAGGACCTCAAGACCACCCACAGTTTCAGTGATCTGGTAGGAGAATCATAGCACTCTTAGTGTAGTTATATTCATGGCTGTGACTTAGTATGAGAAGCAGAAACAGTACAAGGATAAGAGATATGGGTGAGGTCCAGAGAAAACTAGATATTGGCTTCCAACAGTCCTCTCCAGGTAGAGTCACATAGGATGCACCAGATTTCTTCAGTAATGACTTGTGACATATTGCTGGCCAGGGAGGTTCCTTAGAGACCCAGTGCCCTGTGTTTTTTTTTGAGGACTGGTTAGGTAGACAGCTGCCGCCTGGTACATACCAAAATTCTAAACTCCCAGGAAGAAAGCAGGTGTTCAGCATAAACTATATTGTTTGTACAGTTTAGGCACAGTGAGCTACTCTTACGAGTTAGAGAACTCTCCAAATCCATGCTCCCAGACACCAGCTTAGTAAGCAGACCTTTTCTGGGATGACAGACATGTTGTGCTAATTCTTCTGCATAGCAGGACACCTACCCACCCCATCCTATATCTTCAGGTAGGTTCTTGCAGTGATGAACCAGGATCTCTGGATTCCCAGGAGAGAGAATTAATTAGCCCAGCTAATTCTCTAATGGGTGTCCACCTGGGTCCAGGTCATTATGGTCAGGGTCACCTAGGATGAACAAGGATGTTAGGAAACTTTACTGTTTCCTGGAATGTCTATAATTTCAGAATTAATCTAGTCTTTTATATATTTTCTCATGAATTTTGGCTTTCTTTTTAACAGACATAATGACTCAACCATGGAGACTAGAAACTGGCACGAAAAAGCCAATAAAAGCATAAAGTCAAAAGTTTTTAAGGAAATGAGATTTAACAAGTGATACACAATATAGTTCCCTTTCTACAAAAGCTTTTCATTTGAAATTTATTCTAAAATGGCTCATTCAGTGTTTATTTGTACCAGTTTCAGAGCATGAAGTAAATCATGAAGGTTAAATGAGTAAATGAAACATCATTTTAAAATTCATCCTTGTATTATGAGTGTCTCTTTCATTACTCCCATTGTCTTATATCTTTCTAAAGCAAGAAATTTAAATTTTTATGTCACATGTCAGAATTCCACAGGACTTAAAACTTCAACTGTTTTGGCTTACCCACTTCAATTTCCTAAATCCACTGCAGAAAGAACACTTAAATGTCTAATGTTTTCCTATCACTATTCTCCATTTATTTTCCAATGTCATAAATGATACATGTTTACTAGAATTAATACTATTGCCTCTTCTCCTATTGTTTCAATCTCTTTATCTACAGAAAGTGGTGAGAGCTATTCTATTATTTAAGTTAAAGTCCTATAATGGAATTAATACATACATCTACTTGAGCAAATAGGTTGATAAGGTGAAGAGCCACACATAATGTGGAAGTCCCACTTCATAATCTCTGTTTAGATACTTACTACTGAAAATACACTGCTAGGTATACCAGGTTTTAATGCTATGGTCATGGTGTATATAATAATATAAGAAGAAAAACTCAAATATTTTCAGCAGAAAAAGTTATCCTAGTTTAAAAGATTCTTCTCTTACCCTCTTAATTCTTTAGGGCCCAGAGTGGAAAGTCAAAGCTATTTCATCTTGCTTGGCTAAGTATATAAGTATTACTTTGGATTGTTATAAAAATCGGGGGTTTGATCTTTCCTTCATTACCAGTTCAGCCTCATTCTGCCACTGTATTTGGTTCCCCTGCTTCAGTTTCCTGGCTCACTCCCAAGTTTTTCACTGGACCCAGTGGCTGCTTCTGTGTAGGAAGGAAGTAGAGTGGAAGAGAATTTCAGGGCAGCTCTGTACAGAAATTAAGTGTAAAAACTTGAAGTTCATGGAAAAATAAAATTTCACTTTCCCCATAGGCTTCCACTATTGAACCTGCACACATGTATTTGTTTAATATATAAATTGGAATACTTTAAGAGAAGGTTTATATCATTTTAAAGATTGCCTTATACATTGCAGCTTATAGAAGATAACCTTCTGCAAATGATAGAAGGTTGTCTATGTGTGGGGATAGGCAGTTGGTTTGGGGACTCAGGAGACACTCCAGAGGGAAGTCTATCATAGGAACACGTGTAAACCTTTCATACTATGTAGGCTTGATTTTTCAAAGGTCTTCTTAGGGGTGGTAATACAAAATAGTACAGGAACGTGGTACCAGATTTCAGATAAGATTTGGCTGGTTTAGTTGCCCTGAAGGAAATAAAGGAGTGTACAGATGTTCGTTTGTGTAAAAACAGAGTATGCCTAAGGTATTCTACAGTAGATTTCTGATACCTTGTCCTTATGCATTTTGTAATAGTTTTAGTGAACTTCTGTTTTCTACTATTCTAATTGGAACCAGTTGGGGTTCATGGAAATAGTTTGATTCTTCCCTTAGATTTATCCTTGTAGGAGATGTATGAGGAGCATACACTTTTACAGTATTCTTACTTGTTCATATCCTGCGATTTTATTTTTGTTTTAAAGCTTTCTCGTTAAAACTTTTAGACAAAACATTGATGATTCATATATTCCATTTATTTTTGAATAATTGTTCATCTTTTTAGAAGTACTCATATAAGAAGCTCTAATATTTCTTGAGGCATGGATATCTTTTATCTGCTTGAGGTGGTTAATATAGCGTGTTGAGGTGACCATGGAGCTGATTTTCATAATTGGGAGACCCAAAGACTCTGCACAAACCTATTGTTGGGTACTCTAGCAAAGGCTAAGTGTTGCCTATGGAATTTGTTGCCTGTATAGAAAGTGTTCTCAGATCCCTATAGCCAGTGGGAAATCACCATGGAAATGTCATCATACCTCCATGTGGCAGAACAAATCTGACTAGATGCATAATAATTTTGTATTGAAATAATTTAAGGAAACAGTTCATATGTGCACACACATGCACAGATACACATGCATGCACATGCACACAAAGTGTATAGTCTCAGGAAGTTAAAACTCAGTGCTTCTTGCCAACTCTTTATATCTCTTGTTATGATTCACCTTTGGATGCTTATTTCGAGTTAGGTCAAAAGTGGTTATGTAATCCCCACACTGTGCCCAGTAGACATAGTCTGCAGCTATTTTCTTTGTATTCCAGAGAGTTCCCTGTGTGCCCATTCTGTGTGGTAGGTTCTTGGATCCATCTGATAGCCTGTGGGCCCCTTCTCCCAGGAGTACCCTTAGGGGTTTTTTGCTTCTGTGCTCTGAGTATCTTTGAGATAGGAAGAGGGACAGCAGTCACTTCCAAGAGGATAGGACTTTTAAGGAAATTGAACTGAGTGCAAACTAGGAAAACAATTTCCATATTCCTCAGTCTGATGAGCCAGAGAGCTTCCAACTAGTGAATCTGCATTTGAGAGATGGACTGTGGAGGTGGGGGAGGGCAGGGGCCCCTCAGATAGTAAGCTGTATTTGTTCCTAGGGCCCTTTTATTCCCTTATTTATTTATTTTTTCCTTTTTAAAAAAATGTTTGGGCCCTGGCCAGTTTGGCTTAGTGGTTGGAGCATTGGCCTGCGGACCAGAGAGTCCCGGGTTCGGTTCCCTCTAGGGCATGTACCAAAAAAAAAATTATTGGGGTGACACTGGTTAACAAAATTATACAGGTTTCTGGTGCATAGCTCTACAACACATCATCTTGTGTGTTCACCACCGTAAGTCAAGTCTCTGTCTATCACTATTCCCCTCATACCCTTCTTCACCTCCTTCTACTCCTTTCTACCCCCCAGCAGTCACCAACCATACTGTTGTCCATGTCCATGAGTTTTCTCTCTCTCTCTCTTTTTTTTTTCTCCTTTGCTCAATCACTCCACCCTTCTAACTCCCACAGCTGTGTCCAAGGTGGCACTGTTGATTCCCAAGGACTCAGGATGTCAACTCTTTGAAGGAAGCCTTTCTATTATCTACAATGACCTACTCAGTAAACGTGTTGCTTGGGGAGAATATACTCTCAAAAGTAGGTCTTCAGGAAAGAAAATGCAAAGTTCAGTGATAATCAGGTCATGAAAAAGCTCCTTAGGGTTTCTTGTCACCTTTGGACATCTCAGGCTGAGTACCTCTGTTCTGATTAACACTGTGGCCTCCATCTCTGAGATAGGACAGTATTTTGTATTGTGATTTTTTTTTTTATCAGCCTTCATGAGGATGAGGGTGCTGTAGGAGGCTCCTAGACAGAACCGCAGCTTTATTCCTCAGGACCTAGCACGAAGAGGAATTGGTTTCTATGCTGATAATGCTTCTGGCATATTTTGCACTGTATCTTAATGCTATGATGGGTATTATTGTTATTTATATTTCACCATATAGTATGGGCCTTTGTGCATCTGCACATTTGTGGATCTGCTCAGGTTAGAAATCAGTAGTCCTGTTATTTGTTAGTTATCTTAAATTAATGGATGCGTACAAGTTTTATGAGATTTATTATTAACTAATATCTTATTTAGTTATTGGAGAACTATTATCTTGTGGTTAATTACACCTAAACTTACTTTGTTAGCATGCCATAGTTTAAGTGGGTATATATTTTGCTCTGTTAACCAGGTCCAGATCAACATTGTGCAGGTCACATATTCTTATATTTGGTAATGGAGCAATTGGGTATGTTGGTTGGTGGAAGGAGGGGATCACAACAGAGAGGCCTAGTCCTCAGTAACCTGTAAGGGGTTGGCATGCAGGTGTGTAACATTTCTGTTGCATCTTTTGTTTTTGCAGTGAGAGAAAAACGCAAGAGTCTCTTCATTAACCATGTAAGTGAAACTGTACCTGTGTTCTTCAAAATGACTATACAACGAAGAGAACTTCAATAACTATGTTTGGGATGGGTGAAAATGGTTCATGTATTTTGTTGATAGTTGGAAGTATGTGAAGAAAATGGCAGTGTCCTTATGATAGCGGGAAGGGCACGTAATAAGAGTAGGACCACAGTTGTTTAATGATTATTTACCTTACTAACTACAGATAAGAGGTTTCTTACAGACCCTGGGAAACTGGAAGATGTGCTGCAATAAAGAAAACAGGGCTGTAAAAAGATAAGTTGCCTTAGAGCCTGGATGGGTCCATTAAACAGAAAAGAAAAATACATTTTAAGAATAAAGGATGGGACACATTTTGATTTAGTTGTGGTGCCTGGACCCTGACTCCCTCCAGGAGTTTGCTTTAGGATTGCTGACCATTCTCTGGTCCTAGGAACAGATGGAGCTGTTTTAACATCATAGAAAATTACCTGTTATCGGACTTCAAGATTCTGGAAGGACATACATGGACCTTGGACCCTGCCCCTGCCTTTCCCCCTTGCATGCAGCCCCTTTCTTACTTACCCTTATATAATCAGCTGACTAATAGGAGAGGTTAGAGTAGAATTTACAGGATGACCTGCTACTCTCCCCATACTGCCAGCATTATTGGAATAAACGCTCATATATGATTCACTCCTGTCTCTGCTTAATTTGGCTCAAATAGTGACAGGTGGCCTTGGATCTGTTGTGTCCAGTTTCACTTATGGTTTGTAATTGGACAAGCTTGGCTGGTGTTTATCCACTATCTCAAATGTTTTTCTAGAAGCCTGAGACTGATGTTCATGGGAAGATGTGTGTGAACAGTATCACAGCAACCACTACATGGGTGCAAATGAAAGCTACTCTTTTGAATTTCTGATTCTTTTCTTCTACCCTTACTCCAAAGTACTCTTTCTCTCTCTGTAATTCCATTTCATTTGAATAAACACATAATTGTTTTCTATGTGCCTTCATACATTTTTCTTTCCCTAACTGTTGTTTATAGGTCAAATAGAGTCTGCATGTTCTTTTGGTACTCAAAGGAAGGATAAACTTGACAACACTTTCATTTTAAAGGGATTAAAAAGATTTAGCTCTAGATTTTTGGCCATTCTGAGCAGTATTTTCCTCCCCTGCTTGCTAGGCATAAGCATTCCATTGAGATCATTTATTCTTTGTCCTTGAGCAGCATATGCAGCTGGCTGGCTCCATGTGCACTCCTTCCCCCGTCACCCCCCTGCCCCTCATGGTGCCCCAACTTGCACCCCTGTGAAGTGTGGAGAGTGACTTGCAGGCAAGTTATAGCCATTCCTTCCTGTCGCTCCAAAGACATGTTTCTTTCTTTAGAAAAAACTATCTTCATGGATATGGAATGATGAACTAGGCAAATTAGCAAAATAATTATCTAATAAATTCTCTTATTGAAAACAAGAATCAGTATTTGACCTTATAAGGGTTTGTCTCAGGATTTCTAGACTGCCAAATTTAAATATTTATAAACATTGAAGTACTTGTCACCAAAGTTATGTATTGGAAAGACTTAAAGCTATAATATTGTCATCCTTGCCCTTTGAAAATGTGGTAAAGAAATTCATAAGCTGGGTGCATGCAAACTAATTATAGCACCATATAAATATGTTGATGTTATCGTTATTGCTCATTAGAATATAGATGAATTCTATTTAATTTTCCAAGTTCTGTATCAAAACTGATTAAAGTTTTTCTGGTTGTTTGTATATGAATATAGTTTTTCATAATTAATGAATACTAGAATTCCTGGGGCAGACTGTATTCAACTCTGTTTGGGAATCCTGCCTTAGAGGGTTTATGTCTGCTTTCTAGGTTTGAAAGGGATAGGAACAGATTTCTTGTAAAATGGTGTATTTTGTTTATACTCTTCACCTGGTATGCCAGAGAAGTCAAGGAATGTAGTAAGCTTGATCCAGGACTGAAATGTAAAAACTTTTTTTATTTTTTATTTTTATTGAGAGAGAGAGAGACACACACATACACACACACATTGATCTGTTGTTCCATTTATTTATGTGTTTATTAGTTGATTCTTGTATGTGCCCTGGCCAGGAATCAAACCTGCAACCTTAGAGTAACAGGATGATCCTCTAACCAACTGAGCTACCTGGACAGGACAACAAATTTTAAAATTCTAAACCTTACTTTCACCTCTTTGGGAAATTTACTTTTAATAGCACATACAGTTATTGAGCAACCACTATGTAAGCACCAAAATAGTGTGCTTGGAGGGTGTGAAAGAAGCCTCAGTAAGGTTTTAATCTCAGTAGATTTTTAAAATTCAGTAAAGTTAAAGAATCCAACTTTTATTTTGAAGTATTTTCAAATTTACAGGACTGTTGCAACAATAATACAGAGTACAGGATTTTCACTTCTCACTACGGAACCTTAGATACTCTGGTTTCCACACCGCTCATTTGACTTGACACAATGAATGTTGACATGGGGGAAGATGTGTTATGTTTTTTCTTCTTAATGTTTTTCTTTTTTTCAGAATGTCTAAAAATTATAGTGCTATACACTAAAAATTGTTGATTCAGATGTCACTTCCTTGAGTGTCTGGTTACATCTATGGAAGACTTTTTCTTTTCTTACACTTTCCTGTTACATTTCATTCTGTCAGTCTTGTTATGGGGCACAACTAGAGTGTAATGTAATATAAAGTGTGGAATTGTTTCCCTAGTGCCTCCATGGAAGGTCACTTGGGAAACTACATTGTCCTTGTTAAGACACCCAAGTGAGTGTCACTGAACTGATTTGGTGACTTTTCCTAGAAAATGCATGGCCTTTTCTCAGTGGGAGTTTCTGTGTTTGAAGCCTTAGTGTTTCGTGTGTGGTATGAGGATCTTATCTCTGGCCAGCACAGATTCTTGACCACTCTGCCTGGTTTTCACATTTTTGGTACACTGCTGGTGGGAAGGAATAGTTCTATTTGACCTTATCTGTGACTTCACCATTCCTTTGTTCTTTGCTGAGGGTAGAGGGTGCCCATCTGTTGCTCATGTGAGCTGGACAGGCACTCTAGGCCTTGTATGATGCCTCACCCTTCTCACTATGCCATTAATGTTTTTACTTTATTGCTGTCTTAACTCCTCAAGTTTTCAGCTTCCACTTTGTTCAGGGACTTCTGGAACAGAGAGAGCAAAGGAAAAAACACAAAGTCTGAGAAGGAGTTAGGGACTTTGTCAGAAAAGCCCTGTAAGAATCAGACTCTTTCTCTCACCATTGTGTGTCTGTGTTATAGTTTGTTCTTTTACTTTATATATGTTATTAACTTTTATTTGGAAAAATTTCAAATTATGGAACAGTTATAATAATGATACAGAAAATCCCCATAAACCATTTACCCAGATTCACCAGTTTTAAACCAGTGTTTTATCACTTTTGACTCATGCTCTGATCACATTTCTTGTATTATTTTTTCTGACTTGTTTGGAAGTAGGTTGCCTTTATCCTGCCCTTCACCTCCTAATACTGTTCACTGTGTTTCCTAAGTCAAGGATATTTTCTGTGTGAACATAATATTGTTATCAAAATCAAGAGTTTTAACATTGACACTGTTCTTTTGAATTGACTGTTCATATTCCACTTGTGTTAAGTAGCCCTATAATGTCTTGTGTAGCATGTTATTCTCTCGTGCTGGATCACATGTAGCATTTAGTTGGTGTGCTTCTAGGTCTCCTTTAATCTGGAGAGACCCTCAGGCTTTTTTGTCTTTTGTTTTGTTGACATTATTGAAGAACCTAGGGCCAGGTGTTTTGTTAATATAATGTTTCTCACTTTGGATTTGTCTGAAGGATTTAAATCAGCCCTTCCATCCATAACACTTCATGAAGTACTTCCTTGCCCTTCTCCCTATATCAAATCCGGAGACATACAATATTCACCTGACCTCACTGGTGATGTTGATTTTGTTCACCTGGCAAGGTGCTGTCCAGTTTTTGCACTATGTATTGACTGGTTTTCACCTTACAACTAATGAGCAGTCTATGAGCAGATACTCGAAGATAATGCAAATATCCTGCTCCTTATTCCCACCCTTTAGATTAGTATTTGTTGATCATTCTTGCCTGAACGGATTTCTGTATTTTCACTGCAGATGGTAATTTTTCAACCCCCATCCCTAACCCCTTCACATTTGGAAGTCTCATTCTGCTCTGAGAGCCTTTTATTCTAATCCATCCATCCATCCATCCATCCATCCATCCATCCATCCATCCTTCCATCCATTCATCATTATGTGGACTTGTGGAAATCTATTTTTCAATGATTTCTATATAGTGCACTTTGGTGCTCACATTTTCCTAGATTTGGCTAGTAGAAGTCTTTGCACACTAGCTCTATGTTCTTATGGCATGCCACCACCATTTTTTTTTTTTTTTAGTCCTCTCTTGCTTTGGGTCAGCCATGGAATCAGCTATTTCTCCAGGGAGCCCTGATTCCTTTTAGTGGCAAATAGTGTTAGAAACCTAGAACTGGATTCTGTGTATACTCATCATTACTGGGGTGTCATTGCTTTTAGGCCCATTCATATCTAGGAAATAGATATTTTAGAAATCATGAATTCTTAGTGACACCCTAATTTCCAATTTCAGTCCATCGTATAAGATTTTTTTTTGCCTTTGGTCTTTATTATTTTCCTTCTTTAAAAAATTTATTTTTAAAAACAGCTTTATTGAAATATAATTTACATACCATAGAATGGTTTTTAGTATATTCACAGAGTTGTGCAACTGTCACCATGGTCAATTTTAGAACATATTCATCATCCCAAAAAGAAACCCCGTGCCCATTAGCAATCACTCCCTATCCCCTGCCTCCAGGCCCTGGCAGCCACTACTCTACTTTCTGTCTCTATGAATATGTCTATTCCAGACATTTTATATAAATGCTGTCATACAATATGTGGCCTTTTGTAACTGGCTTCTTTCATTTAGCAAATG